ACACACACACACACACACACACACACACACACACACACACACACACACACACACACACACACACACATGCGCACACGGGGGGACGCACACACATGATCAGCCATGTGATAGAATAGGATAGAAGAGCCTGTCTGTGAGGTCGCGCCCTGACCAACAGTGCCTCAGACGTCCAGGCCAGTAGCATGAACCACCAGTACATTTCCCTGCTATTTTGTTCCAACATAGCAGGCAGGCATAACCGTGTCATTAGGGGCTCCAGCCGATCAGACGACAAAAGGTAGCATTGCCAGGCAAATTCCGTGACATGCTGATTCGGCAGGGGTTTGGGGGTGGCAAACATCTGCTGGGAAAAAGGTGCTCGCACATACGGGTTCTTAACCATCACTAGTCCAATGCCATCTGCAGTACATGCATGGAAATGCACATCCAAAACTTAGACACTGCTTTAATAATCTTCTCTGTATTATTCCAACTTCAACGGATGTTCCGAAGGGGGCGTTTTCACATTTTTTCATGGGCCCCGAGACTGCAATCAGGTGGTAGAATAACTGACCCCTGGCCCTCCTAGCACTCCAGAGCCGATGTGGAGGTCCCATGACACCGTGGAGATTTAAAGGACTTGATTGATTCCTGTCTGGTTTCACATCTGGATGGGGATTATTTATGAAGGGCCTTTCAAATGTGGATGGGCTTGTTTATGGAGTGCCTCCTAAGGACCAGGAGACGGTTTCTTCGACGGTTTCTTCACTGGTGGTGGATTCTCTGGAGAAAAGAAAAACAAGAACCAGGAGGCCGTCCTGCTCGGAGGTGAGGTGCTTATTCGCTTAGCCTTCATGCCAAGGTAGACCGGGGTGGTAGACAGCAACAGCAAGCTTCGCACCTGGTGAATTGAAAGTCGAACCATTGTGAATAACAAGAAGGCGGCACGGAATGTGAGGTAGCGCTCGTTTTTTTTTGTTTTTTTTTTTAAGATTTTGGTAATTCTGGAAAAGAGTTTGTTAAACTGTAGGCAGTGTGGCGGGTAGCTTTCAAAGAACGCCGGTGGCTTTGAAACTTGAGGAGTGTCTACATGGTAGTTGAGAACTTGAGGTAAAGTTTTACCTGATTGCCCTGCTCGGGCCGGGAGATGCGAACGCTTGCCCGGGTAGAATGCATCTGGATGCGCAGGTGGCCAGCGTGTCGATGCATCCGATGCATGTACACGAGAAGAAATAACAACAGTTCACTTGTGCCCTTCGTCCTGAAAGTGCTTTCGTGGGAAGTAAGAAGAGGGGATACCTCACAGGACCAGATGTGTGTAGGATATGGGGCAAAGGTACACTAATGGAGGATGGCCATTGTGTGTGCAATGTTGTAGTCAGCTGGATTTTTCATATGGGACAAAGTGGGACCCAGTGCCTGGAGCGAGAGCAGGCAGTTTAGAAGGCGGGATCCTATGTGAACTTAATTGTGACTCGGGGAGCGTCTTATGTCCATTGGTTTTTACCTTGGTTGCAGATGGTAAAAAACTACTAAGAATTAATTAATGATAGCCTGGAGAGTGAATGGACTCTTGATATATACCGAACTTATCTTCCTTGAAGCTCACGACGGAGCTTCATGTTTTGAAAATAAATTTATGAATCTGTACTATCGAGGCCACCCTAAGTTTCGGAGCATATGGATGAAGGCCATGCTTTGAAAGAAGAAAGAGGATTTCCTGCTCCCAGTGTGATTTGGACGCTGGATGGGACTATTTTGCTTCAGGTAAAAATAACGGCTACAAATCCGTGTGATTTATGAAGACTTTTGGCATCAGTCCTGGTCAGTGCTCTTATCACCCCCTTTAGTAGAGGTCGCTGCTGGTTTGGAAGAATGATGACATCATTGGTCGGTTCGTTGAAGTGATCTGCCTCGTTCCTCCAGACCTGGGCCTCGTGAAGCCTTGCACGAATTGCAGCTGTGAAAAACACAAAATGGGAAGGTAAAGGAAAGCTGAGGCTTATTATTGGGGGCATATAATTCCACCAGTAGTAGTCTCCACGGATCTCTGCGGGTAGTGGAGCGTCCTGCAATGCGCAGGTGTTGTTGTATAAAGCATAACAGTGTGATATAAATCGGATGGACTGTTTTCGGTTGGCAGAATTTCGACTCCGACCGGACCGATTTGTAGTGAAGGAAGTCTGAGAGTGTGCTGGTCCCAGCACTTCCGCATCCACTGTATCAAAATGGTGGGGACCACCGCTTCCACATCCAAAACGGACGGGCAACCATATTCGTTTGATGTGTGCTGTCGCTCCTCCGAAATTTATAAACGAAGAAGAGAAAGAAAAATTCCCCGTCAACCAATTGGATTAGCTCAGTGGGTACACCCACAAAGTGTTGAAATGCCGTCCTGAGCTCGAGTCCAGATGGAACCAGATGAACAAAATTGAAAATTCCTGAATTACCTGGGCCCGGTCAGTTTCACAATGATATCACAAGGCTGTTGCCCTGTTAAACCACCAGTACTTCCTAAAGTCGTGCCCGTTAATGCTACGCGATTTTAGGAAACGTATGGGGCACTACTGGAGCGCCCAAATTCATCCAACTAGAAACGTTTCCACTCTATTTTTTTCCGCGGCCGATAGCTGGGCCAAGTACTGGTGGTTTAAAATTAAAAAAGTACTTCAAAAAAGAAGAAAAAAATCACTGTCAAAATCTTACGCTCCCCTCCTAGGCACAATGCCTGCCTCGTCCTCTGTGGGGTGTGGGCCTCGTGCAGGCCCCATTCGCCTCGGGGAACAGTGGAGGGGTCCTTAGACCACCATTTTCAGCCAGGTTATTTTGCCTCATTTTCCGTTGCATCGAAAGCATGGCGCTGGGGCCTGGATTGCTCACTGGGAAGTTTCAGTGGAAGGGTGCGGACAGAGGTGGGGTTTAAAATGCTGAGCCTCTTTTTCTTGATTCTAATTTTTGCTTCATACCCCCCCCCCCCCCCCCCCCCCGGTAGTTGTGCCATGCCTGAGGGTGACTAGCACACTAAGCACAGGTTAAGAGAAAAAAAAGGTGGCCTTGTTGATGTGGGTCCGTGCTCGGCGATTCTCTTTCATTACAGGCTTAGCTTTTTTGGTAATGTTGCCAAGGTTGGGGAGGGGCGAAGGGGTGTTGGGGATGGCTTTGTGGCCAGGCTTGACATTTCTCTGTATGCATGTACGTTCAGCCAGTCAAATTTCTCCTTCCGTTGGCCATACGACTGAAGGTCCACATTGCGTGACGACACTGTGAGAGCTGTGCCAGTAGCACCCACAGGACTTGTTTCTGAAGGCGGCTCCAAACTGATCCAGAGCCCCTGAGGACTTGGCATGTTCAACCACCACTATCCTTCTCAGGTGAAGTTGGGAATAAAAAATGTGTCATCCTGAATACGTTGGATGAGCAATGCCACCGAACCGAAGGGGAAAAACCACAATGTCGCGGCAATTTGACAACGTGCGGCACGCAAGGGGAATTGGCCTCGGCATAAAGAGCCTGTAAGGCAGCGGTGGTTCAGCCGCTGCGTCGGAACAAAGTAGGTGGGTAACATACCGGTGTACCAGCGGTCTCTAAATCACCATTTTTTCACCTTTCTATTTTTGCATGGAGGGTTTGGATGAATGGTATGGCAGACCGGAAAATATTCAGTCTTACTATTCGCATCGGGTAGCAAAAATAGAAAGGTGAAAAACTGCAAGAGTATGCCATGATTTGTTTTTTGCCGTCTTGAAAAAACAAGAAAATCTTTTAGTAGTATGGTCACCAATTTGTTTTTCTTGCAAAGAGGATTGAATTTGGCCTGGATTTGGATATGGAAAAAATGCAGTCAACTGTGAATGATAATGGCATTCTTCCGTGTCCACATTTAGGCAATAAATCTTATATTCACTTTGCTAGTGGGGGACGCTGAAAGTGCATAGAGCTTAGGCGTGAAAGCCTCTGTTCTCTGTTGAATAATCTCACTGCTCGTCCATTCAATTTGGATCGATTCGAAACTGAAGTACGCTTCTGAACATCGAAAGGGGAAGTCGAAACAATAGTTGGAATGTTTCAGGGTCTCGAAAAGGACGGACCTGCGTCACGTGTACAGGCAAAAAAGGCATCCTTGTGTCCACAGTCAGCAGAGGCTGGTGCCATCTCTCAACCCAGTCCGTCTCGCTACCCTTTTTCACCACTTTTTTTACTCAACGCAGAGGTTGATAAAAAGTTTGACAGAATCTCATATGAACATGGAGCGTCGCATGATTTTCAGTGTTAATTTTGAAATATTTGTTTTCGAAGTTCATAACCACCCCTCACTGCGACATCCATTAGGGTCGGGTTTTTCGGAAGGTGGCGACCTTTAGTTATCGATGGGTGAGTCTCGCAATCTCAAAGAGCCAACATTGCAAATTTTCCATGCTCAAGAAGAATTCGTAAAAGAATCTTAAAATCTGACACCCTGTAGATTACGTCCTTAT